GGCCCCAGGACCCTTGGGAACCGCGCTGAGCATCGACTCAAACCTACCCCTCCCCACCCCCACGGAAAAAAAAAGAGTCCGTGGATAGAGGAGGAGGGAGGGCGGTGGGATGTGGGTTGCGACCTCATATTCAGTTTACGTATGCGGAAAAGGAAAGGGGAGGTAAAGGCCGGGCATCCGTCCATCCCGGGGCACCCAGCCGACTGCAGGGAGAGAGAACGGCACCAACACGCTTCAGAGAAACGTTAACCTCGGGGATAGATGGATGGATGGAAAGCCATGTCCCCTGCCACCAGCCCCAGGAGAGGCTGCCCCCTCTATTTCTGCAGGTGCATTTCCAGCCGCCTCCTACATCCCTCTGTTCTCACGCTCGGTTCTTGCTTGTTTCGAAATCCAAAAGGCTCTTCTACCCCACCACCTCTCTCTGCTCACGAACACACACACACCCTCAAGCTCCTCCCTCCTACATGAACTACAACATCCTCTCCTAGGTGCAAAGCTCTGCTACTGCTACCCCTTATCCCATGCCACCTCCATGGCCTCCCTACTGCCAGCCAAAACGGAAGGGCTGCTTTCTCCACCGCGCGTCTATCCGTATGCCCTCAGTATTTCTGTTTGTTCTGATTTGCTATGCAGGCACGGATGCTTAAGGGCCCTCTGGAAAGGTTCAGTTTCTTAAACTCCAGGGGGGCGGGGGTGAGGGCAAGAGCAACAACACCCCAGAGGCATTTATGGCATTATACTGCACCAATTTTGGCTATGGTTACAGCTGTAAACACATTTTTTTCATTCTTGTAAACCAGTTGTGATAAATACTGCATAAGGCAGAGAAAAAAGGCAGGCCGCTGGGACTGTTTACTAATAAAAGGGCTGGCATCTTTTCAGTGCTTTTTCAGCCAGCCAAGAAAAAAATGTATATTTTACTATAAATAGATCCGGTTTACCCGTAAATTCCGCCGAATCACAGCACCTCTCTTAGAGTCTCCAGCATCCTGAAATCCTTTTTTCTCTCCCTTTTTCGTGCCATTGTCTCTTTTGTTGCATTGTCTCTCTGGCGGGGCTTTGGGGGTTTGCTGCCTGTACTGTGCGCGGGGGCAACATCATGAGAAGGGCCGGAGCAGAGGGGAACCCCCCGCCCCCCGCCCCCCCAGGGGGTGAGGGGGTGAACCCGGCGCTTTAGGCTTTTCCGTGGGAGTGTGCCCCCGCTGTGGCCCCAGGGCTCATCGGGAGACTCGGAGGCGAATCCTGCTCGCTGAATTCTCTCATTTATTTAAACGGAGTTTGCGAGAAGTTTAAATCTTGTAGCGTATTTTCCTCTTTTTTTTGTTTTTTGTTTTTTGGGGGTTTTTAAGCGTTGTCAGCATCCAGAAATCTGGGCACAAAAGAAACCCCAACCCGTAAGTGCACGTTGCAGTTCAATTTAACCCAGTGGCAGAGGAGTTAAAATGCCGGTGAGGCTGCTCGCTTTCCGCAGGGACGGGGCTGGAGCAGAGAGAAGGACGAGAAGCAGGGCCGAGGTTTCGCCGCGTCCACAGCTCAGCCAAGCTGTTGTTTTAAAAGCGCAATAAAAATGAATTATGACTAAACGCCTTCTCACTTAATGGTTTTAGACGGGGATCCCCAGCCCCGGCAAATACGTAAGAGGATTTTTATTTGTGCATGTGTTCCTGCAATTGATCTCTTTGATGACATTCTCATTCATAGAAAGAGTTTGATTTATGACTTTCGGAAGAATTGCGTTCAGCCCTTCCAGCTATAACCCACGCATCCCAGCTCCACAACGTGTTGCAGAGCTGGGAGACGACACTCCTCGCATGGACAGGCAGCAGAGCCCCGGCCACAAACCCCCGCTCAAGCCCCACTCGCCTGCATAATGTAACCACGCACGCACACACACTCACACGCACTCGCACGCACACGGGGAGCCGCGATCGCATCCGCCCGGGATCCCCTGGCCCCGGAGCGGCAGAGCCCCGCTGGCATCTGTTGCTCGGTTTTCGCCCGAAGGACGGGGCTCACCCTCCGCTTTGGGGTCCGGCAACGCCGCTAGCCGGGTGGCAGGCAATTTGGTGGAGATTTCCGAAAGCCCATCTCTGCTGCCGCCAGCAGAAAGTGGGGAGCCCCGAGGAAATTGTAACTTTAAAGTCAGAGTTTCCCCTTTTCGTTATCAGTCCTTCACCCCACAAGAACGTTTAAACAGCAAAATATCTTCGGCTGTGCCCCCGCACCGCCCCTCAAAAGGACGGAGTGGAGGGGCTGATTCCTCCCTAAATGCTTTTCCCCCCACTGCGTTTCTGCCACCCTTTTGATTTTACAGGCACTAACTTCTCCATTTTCTCTCCTTCTAGGGCTGATTTCTTGGACCGCTCAGCACGTGAGAAGTAACCAAGCGCATTCTCTGTGAGCTCTGATATTTTTAAGATACACTTCCTGAAGCAGCTTGCTGGCTGCTAAGCACTACTTTCTAGAAAAACAGGATTATTTCCCAAAAAAAGCCTTTCGTGTATGTATCAGGCTGGTTTCTGCAGGAGACGCTTATCCTACTGAGTCTCTCTTATGTTTTGCCTATAACAGAGAAAGTGCTCGCTCATTCTTTTGTTACAGCTCAGCATTTCCAAGCTTTGTATCCCCACGGAGATAAGATGCTACATTTATACATTAAAAGGAAGAGGTCTCCATCAAAGCTGTGAATGGTTTTAGTTTCTTTGGTTTGTTTTTTTTACCCTGTGAGAACCCTTGCAATAAAGAATTCGAACGTGTTTTTCCTCTCTAATAAATGTCCTAAATTGCCAAAAGGGGAGAGCTCATAGTCAGAATGTTGGATTTTGATTATTAGTAAATTAAGAGTCAAAGGGAGGGAGAGAAATACCCGTCATGTTATCAGTCTTGAAAGGAGAGAGAAAGAGAGAGGGAGAAAGAGAAAGAAAAAGAGAAAGCTCCTTGTAGCAAACAAGAATTTATTCTACCAAAAATACTTATGACAACGCATCCTAATGCAATACAAAAATAAAAAGAAAGTGAAGATACAATTCCTATATGATCACTTTCTTACAGACCTCATATATTGCTTTCATAGAAGGACCTAGAATGTGGCTAGGTTAAAATTGAACACAACTAAAACTTCTTAAGAAACGGCAAAATGGCACAGCAGAAGGAGGTAATAAACAGAAAATACTGACCAGGAAAAGGGAGGGAAAAAAAATAAAATTAATTAACGGAAAAAATAAAGAAGAAGAAGAAGGAGAAAGCAGGACCCTTGGAGAGGACGTCTTTAATTTCTCAGTAATTCAGATGCTGCAAGTCAATTGTAGTGAGTGTGTCTGTAAAAAAGTCAAAACTGTCAGCAGAAATATCTACGGGACTGTCCAGAGATCCTGGCAAACTGGGGGAAACTGCATCTGAAAGCTGTAGGCAGGAATCTGTGGAGAAAACGTTAAAGTCCTGTAAAGAAGGGACATCTAGGGCCTCAGGACTGTCATTGTTCAGGCCAGCTGCACAGTTCTGGGCCATTGTTGAGAGGCAGTTTTGAACAGTGGGTGACTGATGTTGAAAATGTTTCAGATTTTTCTCATTGCTCGTTAAAGGCGAAACGGGGAAAGTTTGGGACTCGCCATTGTGCGCATTCTGTGCCTGCTGCTGGGAGAGGGCATTCTGCTGGAAAGCGTAGCCTTCCCGCTCCAAGAGAGCGCCGGAGACGTTGCTGAGGGCTTGCTCGAAGAGGGATTTCTCCTCCTCCTCCTCCTCCGCCGCTTTCTCGGGGTCCTCTAGGCTCTTAAATTTCCCCTCGCCGTTTTGGTTCTCCTTGCACTGGGTCTGTCTCTTGTGCTTCATCCTCCTGTTCTGGAACCAGACTTTGACTTGTCTTTCAGTCAGATCCAGCAAGGCTGCAATCTCAACCCTCCTTGGTCTACAGAGATACTTGTTGAAATGAAATTCTTTCTCTAGCTCCAAAAGCTGGGTGTTGGTGTAAGCCGTCCTCAGCCGCCTAGATCCACCGCTACCGCTATCGGGGATTTCAAGGGGGTCTGTTAAAAAAGAAAAGAAGAAAAAGAAAAACACCACCACCACACGCACACGCACCCCAGAGCACCACCGCCAGAACAGCGAAAGCAAAAACACACGCACGCACACACAAAACAGATAAATGCACGGATTGAATTTCAGCACCCGAGCACATCGCATCCCGGGGAGGGGGGGGAGTGCGCTCTCTGCACGTATGTGTCTATATCTATATGTCCACATAGCATAAAATAGCAACTGCAACAAAATGGCCGCCTTTGGATGCAGTAAACCCATTGTGTTGCACTGCTGCGCGCCCGGTGCTGCGTGCCCCTCGGCCGCCTCCGCAAAATTACTGCCTCCAGCTCCCCAACCTCCCCACACCAGAGCAAACTTTATATTAGCCATACCGCAATTTATAATTAATGCATCAGCTGCTTAGCTGAGCGGGAGCAATCTATCACTCTTCATTACTGTCAAATATCCTAACTCTAGGACGGCGAGACAAGAGAGGTCAGCTCCAACTCAAATAAATCATCCCGCATTAAGCAAGTTTGGGGAAAGTTTGGGTTTCCAGAGAGCCC